GGGTCAACTGAGCATTACAAATTATGATTAATAATTCAAAATAAATATTGACATCAGTTGACTAAGTCTTTGAAATACAAATATAGAAATATGAATAATATGAAATAGACGTAATTGTTGCTGCGTCGCTGCGCAATATGTGGCGCAGTCATTCCGCAGAAATGTAAAATTTAAATGATGTAATAATGGTCACGTGACTTTCGCAGTATTTTGGTTTGGTTGGATCGGCAACACGGGACCTCTCTATCGGTCCTTGTTTTACTATCTCACAGTACATTTACAGATTTTACTTTCTAAACAATCTTTCATACTCAATTTCATATATACAAGACAAGTGAATTTCAAGAAACAATTGGATAACAACATAATGATTAGAGTTCATGTATTTAGGCAAAGACTTGCTAAAATTGTGATTAATGAGCTCATTTCATTTGAATTCATTTCATCAATAATGCCGTAAATAATAATGTGATATCATTTCATTCTTAATACATGAAACATGGGACAATAAAGATTTGATAAATAAGTACAAAAATTTGCTAGAAAATGAACTTCATAAAAACAATTGGATGATCTAAGATAAGATGAGATAAGAGAAAAGCTGTGTTAGAGTTAGAGTTTGTGTATTCAGGCAAGAAATATTGCAAAATTTAATGATAACATGAACATCTTCTCAAAAGTATTATCAAAATTCTACCTGTTTACTATTGATTGCACATGATTCAAATTTTTGGTATGAGCGCTTAGCAATTGTAATTTGTAGTGACTCAGATCTTTTTAAATGACTTAAAGTCTGACATGCTAGTTCTCTCTTGTTCTCATTCCATGGAACCAAACTCAATATCAGAATATGGTTGGGGTTCTCATCATGCTATTTGGTGGACAGTTTGTTTTCCTCTCTTCCATTAGTTAACAAATTCAACAAGTACTTAAAAAATTGTTAGGCTGCATCAAAAAGTTCAATAAAATGTTTACTTTTCACTAAGCTCATGTCAACAATATTGGACCCCCAAATTGTGTTATTTTTCTCATCCTTGGAAACTCTATTGTAAAAAAATTAAAATCAATTAATATAATGATATAATAATTCACCTTGAGGCAAAAACAATAGATGAAAAATAAGTCCATAAGAAGTCATAGACACTCAAACCACAGATCTATCTCAAGGGAACATTCCTTGACTAGACATTCAGACTAGCCCAATGTTTCCATGACCATGCACAAATGGGGCTATCTGTTAGGTTTTGCACACAGATGCTGGATTAGCCATAAAGTACACTGACACCACCTATGAAGTAACCAACAATTGTTACTTGTGCTTTCCTACAATACTTTCTGCAATCTATAAATTTTATCATAAGCAGAATGTGTATTTTACATATATTTGCTTCAAGCTCCTTAACTTGCCATCTAATACTGCATGTGAATTTTATTTGTTAACTGATACTAAAAGTGGATGTTTTTGATTCAGTAGATTTCCCAATTATCCAGGTATTGGGATTTCTGTCCCAATAATCAATCTGATTAATTGAAATAGGAATAGATGCAAAGCAATAATTCACCTGGATATTTCAACTTCAAGTAATTTTCACAATCCATTTTTATTAACAACTTCAAAAGTTGTAATTCAAGCTACTACTGTCATCAATTAATTTTGGGAGAGTATATTTTAATTGATGATAACAAATTTTTAATAGTTTATGTGGATCAGAATGAATAGGCTAATACTAATGAATTAGATTTATTAGCAAATAATTTTGTTTTAGTGATTTGATAAAAATGATTTATTTAATTTTGTATTTAGTTGAAACTAATTATTAACTTATTATTAAGTTAATTTGTTACAAAGTTATTCTTTCAATTACAGCAAATTCTCATTCCTTATATACAGGTTTGATTATATGTATCCTAGTTTAGGATAATTAGCCTAGATTAAGATATTTCTCCTAATCCAAGATAATTCTCCCGAGTTAGGATAATTCTCTCTTTCTAGGATAATTATCCTTCCTTGTGCTCAGGATAATTCTCCTAATCCAAGGTTCATTAATTTCTACTAAATAAAGGTCAAATGCGAACGTGTTACTGATTAATTACTTCTGCGGAATGTAACACGAACTCATATAATAATAATTAAATTAAATCATTCGGAAATTTTACAAAATAAAAATAGGATTAAATAAAATTAAAAATAAATAATAGATGAAATAAATAACTAAAAATAAATAATGAATAACTAAAAATAATAAATAAATAAAATAAATAATATAAATAATATAAAAATAATAGATAGATTCATGTCTTGAAAAAAAAATTTTCTTTCTTCTAACGATAATTTTTTGATTCGTATCACGTGAGTCACGTGCAGCCAATAAAATGCTTTATTTCCCTAAATGCACGCTCTCACTCATTCCCAAGGGGGGTGCACTTATGGGGGTTGACTGTACTAGCAATTCCATCTCCACTAAAAGTTTGAATTTGATCAAATTTTTCGGCTCCAATTGCTTTAAATAGTGTATGGATTTTTTTAGCTTTCAAAATTCTACTGTACAAAGTTGTAGTTTGCACACCAGGAAAATGTTTTCTAAAAGCTGAATATACATGGCCTCTTGCAGCCTTATCGGAAATATACTCTTTAGCATTTAATATTAATTTTTCCACATTTTTTTCATATTCCTCCAAGAAATTGTACCAAGCCATAATCTCTAATTGTCTTGATTTAATGGTATTTTTTTCTGCATATTCTGCATTATTATACAATTGAACCAATGTTGAACTTCCATTGCCTGGTTCAAGCTCTTCAATTATTTTGAACTCTTCAATTTCTTCAATTACTTCGAGTTCTTGAATAGACAATAATTCATTAAAAAGTAATGTATTATTTCTTATTATTAATAAGACGATTGTTATTATAATAACTTCATTATTATTATTATTATTATAGGAAACATCTATCATTTGCGATGTACAATCTGGGCATGCTGCATCTCCAATGCAATTTTTATGAAAAAAATGGCAGCAAATTAGAATTATAATTTCGTCTATACCAATTTTATTCCGCTTTTGCATAAGGAACATATATCATCATTATCCAAATTATCACTAATCATGCCCAAACATAAAGCCATCGCAATGATATATAATATGAAAGACAAGGATAGATAATTTCAGTATATATATACTAGTTAAATCCTAGGGATTCCTAGTTGCTATTAAAGTTTGGTTGGAGGAGAAACCATAATAATACTCCTTTATTTAATAATATACTAATACTATTATATACTATATACATGTGGACATATCAGGGATTATAACAAACATATAAACAGAAGTCCAAGAAATAAATAATAACGAATTAGTGATTGGTTCATTCATTTTTTTTTACTAATACTAAATTAATCAACATGCATTAATATTGTTTTAATTGCCCATCCAAATCTGCATGTCCAGAATATTAATATTAATATATACGTATATACTGGTACAAATTTTGAAATTTGTGTCAATTTAGAATTTATGCAAATTAGCCAATCAGAAAAACATCTACCCAAATTTAAATTTGATTTTAACGTGTTATAGTGATCTAATGATTTTTCTATTTGTATATTTAATATATTTGGAAATTTGATCATTGCAAATAGCTACTACCAAATAGTACTAATATCATAAATAGTTGCTACTGTTGCAAATAATTACTATTGCCGTGATCATTGCTGCCATAAATGACGTAAATGATTAATTATTACTATTGTTATTCTCGTGACCGTTATGGTAAAGTCATCAAAAAAAAAAAAATCGTGCAACTTCAAACCACTAAGGTTTTTTTTATTATTAATAGAATAAAAACTCCTATTTTTGCTATATTTAGAACCTAAGTAACAATAAAATACAGAGTTTTATTAATACAAAAGAAGCTCTAATGGTTTGAAGTTGCACGTCTTTAGTATCAGACACCCCATGGCACGTGACCAGAACAATTCGCTTATTAAATTTTTTGTATCATAAAATAATTTTTTTTGTATAATAACAACACGTTTCGCTAATTTGGTGCTCCAAACGAATATTAAAGTTCTATTAATAATACAAATTGTTTGTTCTATCCGTTTGTTTTACAGTACCCTTTATAAAGGTAGTCCTGTTTTTGGCAAAAAAGAGGGGATTTGCAAATCATAATTTCATAATGTGGTACGAGGCATTGAGTCTATATACATTTTTGAATGAGCGTTAATTCATTAACACCACGAAGTCACAAGAAAGTTGGAAGGCTGTTCTTGGTCATATTTACAAATGATTACAATAAAACTATAATATGAATCAATGTTATAGTAAGTCATGATGATTCTTCGATTCGATTATGATGATAAATGTTTGAATAACTACGATAATTATATACTGTATAGTGCAAGTCACTTAGTCCCACAACTTTCTGTTCCACGCCGCCAAATTTGAGAAATCAAAAATGCAATAAAAATTTTACAGTCACATGATTTTTGAAGATCGTCAAGTGCTAAATAAATATATATAGACTAAAGTGTGATTTTTATTTAACAAAAGACTAATGTGACATTAATTTTAATATTTTAAGAAAAGACTAAAGTGTGATTTTAATTTAATGAAAGACTAAAGTGTGACTTTAATTTTAATATTTTAATAAAAGAGAAATATTAGTATACTTATCGTTTAAAATTAGATAAATAATATTAAAGATCAATTAATTGAAAAAAATCATTATTATATATATATACAAAAATTTAATAATAATGGGGAAAAATATTATTATCAATTACTGTAAAATATAAGTTAGCAATAACAATAATAATAATAATTAAGACATTTCGAGATTATTATACATGTAGAAGAAGTTTTGTATTGCTATTTCTTCATTTAATAATTAAATGTTTTTGATTTTTAATAATCAAGAAAATCAATAAAATGGATTTGCCGTGTCGTTTTGTCATTGTCGTCGTTATAAAAAAATACTTACGTGTGATTTGGTTTAATTTATTCTAAATCGAATTTATTGAGACTATAAACCTTTTTTCACATTTGTATAATGATTAAAATGATTTATAAAATAAAATAAATCGTTATCATATTTGTAAAAATATACGTTATCTTTGTTTAAAAATAACTTATATTTAGATATGGCCCAAAATCAAAAAAAAACCATAAATCCCAAATTTAACGGTGGATGGGGAACGTATAACACTTGACAGATTTAGACCTTGATAATTTGAATTTGCAGTGTTATCAGTCACTGATGCTTATTACTTCAAAAGCTTAAGAAGTTGATATTTTTTAGTTAAAGGATAAATAATTTCCATTAAAATCCCGATATAATATAACGAAATTAAAATAAAATACATCACATCAAACAAATAAAGTAAATCTTTAAAAAAGATAACTTTAAAAGAATTAAACGCATACATAATATTATGCAACAAGAATAAATAATATCATCTACTCGTAAATAAACTTTTGGTACAAAAAAGTTTGAAGTAAGATCGATGTATTATATGTCTTTGTACCGTGCTTATATTTTAGCGAGTTGATTATTATTAAATATACCCATCAGGTAATTAATTATGCACAACGTCAACGTTTAATTATATTTATGTAATTAATTAAAGTCGTTAAAATTGAAAAGTGTTTTAAATCATCATCAATAACAGACAATAGTTTAATGCCTACTACAATTTTTTTTTCTTTCTTTAATCGCTAATAAGCGATCAATGTAAAAAAAAATCAAAAAGTATAATACTATATATTATTTTCTCAAGCTACCATTTGTCGATCAATTTTCGCGTGAAATTCAAAATTCAAATGAACCAATCAGAATTTCGTATTACCCAATATTATCCCTTAAACGGTCAAGTATTCTTTAATGGTAACACAAATTAAAGTTTTGATCATTCTTATTGGTCAATTTAACGATCAGCAAAGTAAAAACAGTCAATCGACCAACTTTTAAAGAAGATTTTACAAAAACCACAAGGACAACAACTGGTTTTTTATTTATAGATTAATCGGCTGAATCTCAAAGATCATTTTCGTATTAGAAAGTGATGCTCTCAGAAAAAATTTTTTATATCAGAAAAATTTTATCGGCTATCAATAGCCGATTAACCGTTTAAGGGATAAAAAATTCACAATCATTATTTCTAGTATCATCAAGTTGAACAATGTAATCTTTTTCATAAGCAACGTAATAATGCTCCACAGAAACAACTTGGATCATTGCCTTATTTAATATCTCTGCTCTTGTGATAGGAGGCAATGCATCAACACAAATTTTTCATTACGTGATTCATTTTTATTTTCAATAGGTTGATGGTGTGGATGTGGGGGTAGTGGATTTGGATGAGGATGAGCATTTGCACGGTTATGTGACTGACGATGATTTTATTGTTGCTTGTTTTCTTGCTGATACGCCTCTCTTAATTTATCAGGCTCCGGTTTCGTTACCTTCTTGCAGGTAATTTTTTGATTCTTGATTTGGTTTTAGCAAATTGTTTGTACGAGGTTCTTGCCTTTAAACAACTCTCCAGGTACTACGAAGATTTGTTGGCAACCGTGAGATAAGAATTATAGAATTAAATGCATTGTAGGCATGTTTGATGATGTGAAGGAGTTGCACGTCTTTCTTGATAACGCGAAGTAGTTGCTGTCGTCATTAGTAATTGTTGCTTCAGCACAGAAAATAAACCAAATAAAGTGATCAAGCAGACCAGGCTCCTCTCTAATTGTTTTGGTTCAGGTTCACTGAATGAATTATAGTCACATACAAAAAAAAATTTCACAAAGTTCGTTTAACAGAATATTTTACATGAAAATAATTTTTATAGATGATGGTAGTGAATATAAGGATGAGAATGATGGTAGTAGTAGAAATGATTCTTCAAAAAGCAAAAGGTAATTATATTACAAGTTCAAAGATTGAAGCTTTAATGGATTTTTTCGATATATATTTTACACATTTTGATTGACAATTCACTTATCTATATGCATTTTTAATAATAATAATATAATAGTTTCAAGCAAGAATGATCCGAGCACCAAATCTATTGTATTCAGGCTAGTTTCAAGCAAGTATATTGTAATATGTGTTAATGCAATTATCAAACACACATTCAAATTTAAAATTCAAATTCACGTTTTCACATTTAGATTCATAACATAACTAATGGACATTATTTTTAGATTTGATGGAATCTTATGGATTTAATTTATTAGATTGGATGGTAAAGTCCAAAGACATAGATTAGAAGAAGTGATAAACTGATGGTTCAATCAAAATATTTTTGGCTAGTCTTAAGTGTTGTTCCTTGGGATTGAATTTGATGGCTGTTAATCAACGCTTTATCATTGATGCTTGATGGTTTAATTATGGTTTACCTACATTTATTCCTTTATTATAGCGAGATTAGAAGACTTACAAACATTATGGAAATCAAACAACGTTACCATCATTACTATCACCATCATCATCATCACTTATTTTTACTTGTATCTAAAAATAATAAGATATACAGGGGGGGATAATTAGATAAAATTTATCATAGTTAAACTATTTTTTTATTATTGAATTTTTGTATTTTGCAAGGTGTCATAAACGCTAGTCGGTCAATATCCAGAAAATTAGTTATCATTTATTATTTATATAATATGTTTCTCACTTCATAAACAAAACAACAACATAACAAATAATTTCCAGCAAAAAAAAAATTTTGTTATCTATCAATCAAGTAGTGCATTATTATCACATCGAAAACTAAAAACCAAACAAATAAAGTAACGAATAAATAAGTTGAATTAATCATTATATATATATTATTATCATTAAATAACAATTCATGACAGTAAAATCAAATGCCAAACCAATAATAAGCTATTAAAATCATAGACAAATAATCTTGCAAAATATAAAAATAAATAAATATATATAATATAATTTATTAATTGTATCTCGCATAATTCGTGATAACTTGTTCCTCTGCAAATTTTACAGATCTCTCGAACATCTTTTCGTAATATTCAATATTATTTTTAACTACAGGGTTGAATCTGACAGAACCTTTAGACACTTTCCTTTTGTGGTTTCTTATCAAATTTTGACGTTCAATGCGTAAGTCTATGATCTTAAATTGTAATTCAAGCGCCTCATGCTGTTTACACGCCAACATATATTCCATAATACCAATATTCTTGTAGTTATTATATTTATTAGCTGTAACTTGGTTAATCTTTTCTTTAAATTTTGTAATTGATAGTTTTTCGTTGTTGATTTTATCTTCAAGTTGTTTAATATTTTGATAAAGTTGATCATTCCTTTCTAAGGATGAGTTGAGTATAGTTGTTGAGCTTGTTGAAAAATAAGGAAATATCATAATTTTGACGAGAGAAAGTTTTAGGTGGAATCTTATAAAGTTTGTTGAAGAAGTGAAGATTTGGTCAAGTGTGTAAAGATCAAATGAAACTTCTTCAGTCTGTTGTTTTGAACATTAATTTTACTTGTGGAAAAAGAAAATTTCATCAATAATAATTTTTTATTTACAATCTTTAAAAAGAATTTTCTCGTTTAAAAAAATAAAAAAAGATTGTTGATCAAAACAAAATAAGCAAAACAACCAATTTTAAAGTTACAAGAGCGGAAAAAATAATATTAATAAAACTGGTGACTCTTTCATTCATGGACGAGTTATATTAATTATATATAATTAAATTTAAGTATTTATTTAACTGGCACATTATCAAAAATTAAAAACACATGTGAAGTTATTTATATTTGAAGCCAATCGTAGTAGAGATGAATGAAGGATCATAGATTTTAACACAAAAAGTTTTAATCTGATTTTTAAAAAATGTGTTTCTGCGCTAAATTATTAGGTTCCTTATAATCAAGAAATCAAATATCCAATTGAAGAAGCTTTTGAAAAATTTCAACCAGAGTTTTATCCAAATACCAAAGTAAGTAAACTCCCAACATCTAGATCTTGTCATAATCCAAGGACACGTAAAAAGAGACTTCGACTCTTATTGAATTTGAATCCTTTCCATCACACAAACGAAAATATCTTTCGCCAGCATATATTCCAGAATATATATGCATTATCATTATATACTGGATCAATCGTAGGCATTTTTAGAGCGTCTTCCAATAGTAACCATGTTTCTGATTAATTGATTTTTTGGTGAAAATTTAAAGATTGCTACAAATTAGTTAGTAAAGAAAATAGACTCCTATCTACGAAGCTTCCTAAAACAAGCTTTGGTTCTTTTGCAAAATAAGATCAATGAAACATATCCAACGGCCATTCATATTTCTGACGATGAATTAGCTCCTCTTTATTTGCCTAGAAACATAATTAAAATTTCCCTGACGAGGTCCACAGTGAAGATGACAGGCTTTTAAATAGTTTTGTGCAGTTGAATAATAATACAAAGTCACCAATTTCAACTAAATCATACAGATTTAGAGCCCCACTTTTTATCCCTGGATGGTTATCATGATTTAATCAAGGGTGAGCTAATAATAAAAATACAGCATTTGGTGAATATGCCAAAACACATGATTATTTTGTTTGATCCAAGGTTCGTCGAGATCATTAATGGCCATCAGGAAATAGTAGAAATATTTACAATGTTTAATATTATGAACTAACCCCTACAATTTGTAAAATGCTTTACTGTTTTTCTGATGCGACCTGCAACTTGAAAAATTAAGAAATCGCCAAAATACAAGGATTTTACAACAAAAAAGTAGAAGGAATTCAAGATCAAATGGAGTTAATTTAATTACCGAAAACAAATGAACGTTTACGAGAACAGGAGATCATTATTTTCATTATTTGTAACATTATCAATATGTTACAATTCCAACAAATAGATCTTTGAAAAACGAGATTTAGGAAAAATAGAACATTTTTGATGGAGTGAAATTTCAAAACAAAAGTACAGCTCACATTGACTGTGTTCACTGGATTAATAAGAATATAAATGGAATGATAATGTTGCATGCGAAATACAAATGGATCGTGTCAATTTAATTGATTGATATTGTGCTTCTTTAAGTATTAATATTAGAAAAATGGACAAATATGTCATCCAGCAAGTAAAAGAAAAGATGATTTTTATGTTGGTGGGTCAAAATTATTTAGTAGATCATACGCAAAGTCAACGGTTGGTAACCATTTAAGAAATAATTCTTCTCATAAAAGACATTAAATTAGAAACACAAATTCTAGTAGACTTATTCCAATATCTGAGCGTCAAGTGATTCCTTTTGAACAAATTGACTCTTTGCAATCTTAATTTTTTTAGAGAATTCGATAAATAAATTTATAAAGCTTAATATTCTCATGTAATTTCCATAATTGATAAATAAATACGAGGATCCTAGTGAAGATATAATACGAGATATCCTTCAATAGAACCAGAATTACATCGAAAGTAATTACACATCAAACTCCTTTTTGTCATGTTAAGAATTCAAAGTATAAGCCTTCCAACGCAACTCTCTCTCCAAGCAGCAGCATCTTCTTTTTTTTTTAACAATCACCCACAATTGAAGCAGAAACTTGACAACGAGCAAGTAGAACTTAATTTTCCTTTCTTCGTGATCCAACATTTTTAGAAAAATATATTTGAGAAATTTTAGACTGCGTAAAAAATTATCATTCACAAAGTAATTTTCATCAAGGACAATTATCTACAATCGATTTGTTGTGATGAAAGAAAGTTCGAGGAAATTAGCGTTCAAAAGTAATATATTAATTAATATCAAGCTTTGTATTGCGCGATAGGGAAAAGGTACATAATTTCATGTTTATGATAATAATATTAAATTTGTTATTATTATTTAAAACTGAGTTAAAAAGCCAAGTTATAAAATCTATAGCCATTGTTATTTGTTTTTAAACTTCTTTTTTAATAAAATTATTCCATATTAATATTTATCTTCAATCTCGTCAAATACCTTTTTTCACGCAAGTTATTAGTATTAGTATAATAGTTGCACAAAAATTCAGAGTTATTCTTCAACTTCCGTTGTTTTTGCCTCGATGATGCAAATTATTATGGATCCATGCCTTATTAAAAGTCTGCTTTTCCATTAATACGAAAACAAAGACATTATGATGTTGACTTTTAGAAAATTTATAATCAAAACAAAATACCACTTCTCTAAGAATTGCATCAATGAAATACGATCTTTCCATCTCATTTTTCCCCACAACTGGCCCCAAAGTGACAATTAGCAATTTTAAAGTAAGCGTAAATTAATGCGAGCATCCTATACACATATATAAATTATATTAGTAATAGACAAACTGTTAAACGGTCTACTATACGAGCTACTATGTTCTTTAATTTATTATCCTCTATAATTCATAGTTTGTAGCTTTTAACAAGCATATTAATAATAATCTATGTACAAAAATCCATTTGTGAAGGCTCATCTAATGTTGAATAATATTTCACCAAGATCGGGTATTTTCTTATATTTAGAGTAACTAAAGTGCTAAATCATTGGTTTGGATATTGGTGATTATAATATGTCATTAAATAATTACGTTTCTACATTAAAAATAACAGTTTTTACACCACCTTTATCTTGTGGAATCCTTTTCAACCAGTTAGAAAGTAAAATATTCAGCTTCTTTTGACATATTCTTATTAGTAGTTTGTTTATACCAAAATTACTAACCGCGTTTCAACGAATTTTAGATGGTTTTACATATGAAGTTTTTTAAAATTAGTTGTAACGTGAATTTAATTATAATTCGCTGACTGTAAGTGTGGATTAATAGACTGTTTTCTTTCAATTAAAGTAAATGCTTATTTTTATTATTTTTTTTTTATTTTTTTTTGAGGTGAAGAGCTAAAACCAAAAACCAAAATCGAATAAAGATATTATGAAAGAATATTTTTTATTTTTATTTAGGTTTTTTGGTCCGATGATAATAAAGATTTTCCAAAACAGGCATTCCCTCGGTATTTTTGCACTCTGGCTGATCATGATGTTTTTCAAGTTTTTTGACTTTGAGTATAAACGGTCTGCACTGTAGTAACATTACATTATTTTTCAGGTCTAGAATATTGTGCATATAGAAAGTAAAGATTTGCAACATTTTTGGGATGATCTGAGGATCTGAGGATTATAACTGGTGAAAAATCAAACCTTGTTGTTTGTTTACTATTTTATTACTCGAGAAAAAACATTAACATCACAATCACATTACTGCAATTGTGACATTTAACAATGCTATCACTTTGTGCCACATAAATCGCTTTATCTGGCTGGTTTTTATCAATCAAATATATATATATTTATTATTTAAGAAAGAATCAATCACAGAATATCTTCAACAAATAATTCTCTCTTTAAGAATATTCATATCGAACAAATTTATTATTAAATTTAATCTTACTTAATACTAGTTACAACAAATTTCCTAAAATATCTTAATCAAGTTGTTAGCATTCAATCTAAGTTTGTGTTATTCATACTCGCACACACGCACACACATTCACACACCTATATATATATAAAAATGGCATTTGAAGTAGGTAACATCGTTTTTGCTAAATTAAAAGGATTCCCTTGGTGGCCTGGGTTGGTAAGTATTATCAATAAAAAAGAGAATTATACATAAGATGTAAAGTAACAAATGACCAACACACATAAATTTTTATTTTTATGCGTCATATAGGTTGAAAAAGAAGATGAGCTGCCAGAAAATATTCTTAAACAGAGACCTGATGGTCAAGATTACATATGTGTAAAATTTTTTGGTTCAACAAATTAGTATGTTAATAGATATCTTTCTTGATTTTATTATTTTTAATAATGATAAATTTCAATATCAATAATTAATTTATTATATGTGTATATATATGTATGTATGTATGTATATAATAATAATAGCGGTTGGATCATTGAAAAGAATCTTAAACCATTCACAAAAAAAGAAGCAAATGACAAATTAAAACAAACCAAAAAGAAAAGTAGTTTGGTTGGAGCTATAAATCAAGCATTGGAATATTTGCCGTCAGGCACCGCCTATACTATTATTAAACGTAATAATAACAACAACAATAATATTATTATTAATAGTAATAATAATAGTAATAACAACAACAAAAGGGGTAAGAGAAAAATGAATGAAGAAGATGGGACTAGTGTTAACATTGCTGGTAGTAGTAATGGTATAACAAAAAGAAAAGATGATATTAAGATAAAGGGGAAGAAGGGAAAGGAGAAAGTGAAGGAAATGACAAATCAATCAGTTCAAAATAATATTGTAATAAATAATCATAATGATGGTGGTAGTGGAGATGGTAGAACTACCAGGAAAAGAACAAGAAATAATGATAATGATAATCAAGTAAGCAACAACCAAAATAAAGCTGTTAAGCGACAAAAAAATAACGACACTTCTACATCTGCAAAATCATCATCATCATCATCATCATATAACACTAGAAGGTCTGCAAGGGTTCAGAATAATAAAGAAGTGGCAGTAAAAAAAAAATAGTAGTTGATTAATAAAACACAATTAATACTACTACTAATAACACAAGCCATTAAAGGTAACATTTGATTGCAAATTTAATAATCTATATACACATTAATAATATATCTTCAAATTAATACCAGTCCAGAGTTTATAGAAATAGAATAATATTTTATAATTGCTTGATCGATATTAGCTTATTTTCAAAACTTTATTTGTAAATATTGTTTTATATATATATAAATTATAGTTAAATAAATCAAGTTTTTACAAATTGATTAATTACTAATAATACTTTTCCGGTTTGACATGAATGTCTATAAAGTTCCTATGAAAAATATGAAAATAAAGATTAATCTTTTTCATGGCCATATATATCTGCTACGAGAGAAATAATTGATCGGCGATTTTTCTTTGATTCTATTGTGCGTGAAATGAATTTGCAATTAAATTCAAATTAGCCAATCATAATTTCCTATCCAAAAACCCCATCCCAAAATCTTAAAAATAAAATTGTATCTTCAATTTACCTTTTATCAAAAAAAAAAAATTTTTTTTTAACTTGCCCCTTCAATTATTTGAAATATGTTTCTATTCGCATCCTAGAGCCAGTTGATGATGTATTACATTTTACATTAAAGCCAAAGTAATTGAGTTAATTCCAAATTGAGGAAATGTAGGTAGATATTGAGGAGAAATGGTAATGATGGAAGCAGTGGTGGTAGATAATAATAAATATAACCACTTCTAACAGGCGGTATTGGTCATATGCATCTTTCTTCTTTGTGTGATACGACGCAAAATATATAAGTAAATAATACAATGGGCTGCCATTTTTATATGCGGGTGGTTCCTAAATACAAAGAAGGCTATGTAAGTGTAAGAATCAAAAGCATATTGAGAAAAAGTTTTCCTTCAAAAGTAGTTGAGGATGCAAAAAAACTTTTCCTATTAACAAATAATAATACTGTTGTTGCAGCAAAAAGTAAAATTGTTGCCAGATTACACATTGGAATAGGAAATATAACCATTTCTACTAAAATCATTTACCCAACAATGTCAATGCTGTTGACCAAGAAACCTGAGACCAAATTGGAGAAGTCTGCCAAGAACTTATACAAAAAATGAAATCCACATCATTTGCTGGTGAACTTAAGGAAAAGCCCCACAATTATGAAGAAAAGAAGCAGAAATTCCTTCAAGTTATATATAGTGAAACTTATCCTGTTTCTGAATTTTTAATATTATTTTTTCCTAGATTCACATTGCAAAAATGGTGAAGGCAATTCAGACCCCAAAAAAACAATCAATTTTTAGGAAGAGATCCAGAGGCTTATTATTGAAAATGGAATAAAACTCCCAGAGCTCAATTAGAAAACCAACTTAATAAGAATAAAAGAGAGAAAGCTCACTGAATGATTGGTTGTGGAATACTATTGTGCCTTCTAGTTATTTTAGTTATCAAAATAGTTAAGATTGGGAAGAATAAAAGTTAATTATGACATCTAACACATTTTTATTTAGTATAAAAATTATTCAATTATATTTTATGCTTGCTTGGGGCAAGTAATATCTTTGTATTCATCTTTCACAAATGGGCAAATATTATTATAAAGTATTCTTGTCTTTTGTGATCTAAAGGAGGTGGCATTAACACTAAAGTAGATAAAGCTCTAATTTCTTCAAAAGTATTTGTTCTCCTAATTTTTAATAAATTAAATTCAACAAAAGAACCATTAGCAACTTTTTGAACTTTCACTGTGCCAAGATTAGATGCTTCAAAAAGAAAATGTTGATATTTTTGTAGGCCATTTAATTTTTTAAAATAAATTCCTAAAATAGATTTGATATCTAAGTATTGAAAACCTTTCCTGCCTTGTAGCATTGAGCTTTATTCAATCCTACTGGACTAGATCTTTTCACTACATCAACTACATGGTCCAGACAATCTACCCTTATCTTTTTATAAGTTTTTTAATCAAGCTAAAACTACCATCACATTTGAATTTAGTATGTCCTGGAATCATGAAGTTTAGTTCAATGCTTTTGTAATAACCACAAATTACCAAATATAAATAACACCAAATTGTTACATTATTTTTATTTTGTCCACCAGCATTATCACAAGTAATCTTTAAATGCTTTTCAATTTCTTAATTCCATCAAAAATCATACTAAGTGTGCCATTGGGTCCTTTTCCTATAATTTCATCTTCATTAAG